GTCAAATGCTCAGTTCAGCAACGGCTCAGGTGTCACAACATTGGTGGCTGTCGTGTTACATGCAGCACATAGTCGTTCTTCTTTGAGCAGTTCTGACTGAGATCCCCACCATGGAAAACGGACCCCATATCATGGACTTTTAGGTTTGAATGATGCCTGTTGCTAATCCATGTCGTACCTGGTATGCCTGCAATATCGTTGTTCAAGGTAGCCCATGCGAACCATTCCAGCCAACGTCAATATGCAACCATGATGTTCATTTTCGGGATCGCCGTAATTTCAATCAGTGCCTGTTGGGTAGTCACAAGATGGATTTTCATGATATTCTTGGGTTTACGCTCGTCCTCCAGTGTCCAATGGACTTGTATCCGTATCCTATCTATAGCCCTCGCGGCATGACACATGTCTATAATGTCTATAATTGAGAGACTCATCGACCCTGAGCGAAAATCAAGATATCCACCACTGTCAAGAAGCAAAGACGTAATGGCAGGTACCGAGGCTTTGGAATATTACACAACGTTCATGTGCATGTTCCCATTACTCAAATTATCTTCAGAACGCATTGCAGACTCTAAACTTGAAACACATATCTCGCAGCAGCGTATGCTGAGCAACTTTCCGCTCGACCAAATTACGCGCCACTAGCCTTCCGTCCAATTCCAAAGGTCTGGTCCACCCATTCTGAAGCTGGCTTGTGCGAGATTATAGTCATGCGCAACTACACCTCCAAACACTAAAGACTGCTCTAACACGTAGCCGACGCACCTATCCTCGCCTGCCATTGCTGCCAGATTCATAAAGAGCCTAGCAAATATCACGCAGACCTCTTTCACGCATATTCCTACGGACCATCTTCGGCATTATCTCAACCTGGGAGCGGGAAACACACTGGCCCAGGTGTTTTTGCGGTGCTGGCAGACTTCCCTTTCGAGCCTGCTCCCGTCTCCCCGCCCGCTCGATCGACGTCCAGCAAACTCGGCAACAGGTTGGAGCATGGACATCCCGTCTGTGAGGGACATGACTCGCAGCCGCACGGAGGCACGGAGGGTAGGGCTGACACGGACGGTTTTTCTGTCTGTGCTGGATGGCTTTTGGAGAGAGCTGAAAGATATTCTACGCGCGCGAGACATGTCGTGTAGTGGGAGAGCTTGCATTGGTAGCTCTACCCTTGGCCATCAGGTGTTTAGTGATACTAAGCGCTTTCGAGAGTTGACTCAACTCACGGAGCTGTCACAACAGCGTCATGCCAGAGAAAGGTGTCTTGCCTCACTACCGAATATCACGGTGCATATCGAATTTTGATCCTAGATTATTTGTTGTGGACCACTGGTGCCATGTCCTCGTCGACATCCAATTGACGTGCTGCGTCGTCTTCCGAAGAGACTATCGTGCCTCGAATATCAGAAGCCAGTTGGCTTGTTTCAGGCTTCCACGCAGCGTGTGATCAGGCACTGCGCCAAGTTTGTCGTCACATACAAGCCCCAAAACGGCACACATGGCAAAGTTCACCAGCGAGCTCGGGCCCTCTTGCTTTGTCTTAGGTTGGGGGCCGTCTTAAGCATATTCAAATGGTGCATTACATTACGCAGACAGCCATAATAATCTAAGTTGCAACCTGTTACATGTAGTATTTCATCACTTGGTAACGAGGGATCGATTTGTGGGGATCACCTGTGATGATGACTCGAGTTTCTCGCTCAATATGCAGTGAGTATCACATGGCGCCAATGCCTCGCTTCGATACGAGGGGCCGTTGAGCGCAACGGCGGCATCCTAAAACCGGGATGCATGCTTTTACCGTGGGTCAGCCAGTCGTCTACAAGCGCCAACGATAGCGGTACGACATCGCCACATGCTTGCTGTCATCGGTGAAGGAGCGGGAAGCTTTGGCGTAACGATACCGAGACGAGGTCCGTGCCGGAAACGTGGGTGTTGTTGAGGAGGGGTCTGCCCTGAACACACCTCGTGTGGCAGGCACCGGGATCCATGCGTCTCCAAATGTGTATGTTGATTGTGGCACATCCAATCTGCAGAAGCTTCAAGGGAAATGCATGCCGGAATGCCTGGCTGGCTCTTGACTGCATGGATGCATTAGTATTGGATCTGAAGATAATTCATTGGGCGGCCGCGACTGATGGTCGTGCATGAGGGAAGAGTAAATGCACACTGTGGCGCTCTACCTGAGTCTTCAGGACATAATCGACATGGAGGTAAACCTTATTATGATCGGTTAACGTCTATCCACCTGGAATATGCTGGTTCTTTTCCTGGTCATGTGGAGCTGTCAATCCTACTCCAACTCCATGTCCATTGCTTGCATGCTGCATGGGCTTCATCTCTCCACGGTTCAGCGACCTCATCAAGAACAACATGGTCGAACCTTGCAAGTGTATCCCTCTCGTCACACTGCAGAAGACACAGCAGGAAGACCTTGTGACACTAGCTCAGTCTGTACACCTACGATGACTTAGCACCAATTCTGCGCGCGCACAAGTCACATCACTCAGCTAAGTAGAGAGTCCGCTCATTGAGCTTTTTCTTCTTATGGTAATGGAACACGTTACTTACCACTGCGCTTCCATAGCAGCTATTGATGTCGTCTGGTACACAATGTGACTCACCTTACGAATACCTTTACCGAATAATCGTCCAAGTTTGAGGTTGATCAACCCTCCATCTGCCTCTGCCCCAACGATGACAATAATCGGCATACGCCTCATAGTTGACAATAACGACAGATGATGCCCGGGCATCTAAGCGACAGGAACTGATGGGGAAACGCAAGGGTAGCAGACCATGACTCGTTTCCAACAGTTCGCGCCTTCCGTATTCACCAGTAGCGTCATCGATCCATCAGCCGCCTCAACATCATCCCGCCTTCGTCACTCATTCACCTTCAGACCGATGCTCTGTTGGAATTGCTGTTTTGCCGTAGCGATATGAACTTTTCGCCTGTTCCAAAGCCGATTGCAGAAGACGCAGCAAAGTCCACTGAGCGTGAGGTACCGGCAGAAGCAGCGGCTTTTAAATCCGGCGATAAACCCGAGGATCTTTTGAGCGTACGCCGCGGGGCAATTCGCGCTGCTTCGCCAGACCCATCGATTATTTCGATTGACGATGCGAATAACGTGCATTTCGAGCACGATTTGCATCATCCAGCTGGACAATATGGTCAACCTTCAATGGCGGCTCCGTCGACGCTGCGAGGTCGGCTGCGGTGGTTCTGGGTCAAGAATAAAGGCCTAGCATTTGTCTTGGTTGCACAGTTTTTTGGAGCGCTGATGAATGTGGCTACACGGATATTGGAGATGGAGGGAAACGATGGTATTGGTTCAACTGAAACTATGTAACTAATTTATACTGACGTTCGTCACCAGGTCAAGGCTATCATCCCTTCCAAGTCCTGTTTGCCAGGATGAGCATAACCGTATTATGTTCATCCTTATATATGTGGCTAGCCAAGACCGAACACTTTCCCCTAGGCGCTCGAGAAGTACGGTCTCTACTTGTCGCGCGAGGGTTGACAGGGTTTTTCGGAATATTTGGGATGTATTGTGAGTAATCCCCTGCCTTGCGCGGTACAGTAACGTCCTCGGAGCTTCCGAAATCAGTCTACCGCAAAAAGCAGCATGCTTCGAGCTGATGCATCATGGGATGATTTTGGGACTCATAGTACCTTTCGTCTTTCTTATCGAAGGAGCATCCATATCTGACTTGTATAGACTCGCTTATGTATCTTCCCCTCGCCGACGCAACCGTCATCACATTCTTGTCCCCCAGTCTCGCATGTTGGGCCTGCAGCTACCTCCTCAATGAGCCCTTCACGCGCATGGAGCAAATCGCCGCATACATATCGCTCTTCGGCGTGGTACTCATTGCACGTCCTGTATCACTCCTGGCTGCACTGACGCGCTCCAACGATCCAGTGTCCCCAGCAACGAGTAGCAGTGGTGGTGACTTCATACCCACGAATGCAACTATCAGTTCGTCACATGGTTTGGCAGCCGAGCACGACAATGTAGCACCAGCTCAGCGCGGCGTAGCAGTGGGTATCGCGATGCTGGGCGTTCTTGGGTCAGCGGGCGCCTATACCACACTCCGGTGGATCGGTCAAAGGGCACATCCCTTGATCTCGGTCAATTACTTTGCAACGTGGTGTACAATCGTCAGTATCGTGGCCATGTTTGCCCTGCCTGATGTTGGCTTTCTACTGCCTCGATACTTGAAGGATTGGTGCTATTTGCTATTCTTGGGTATCTGTGGCTTCGTTATGGTAAGAACCAATCTGATGCTCTGCAACCAAGGCTGTAGAGTTAACGTAATTAGCAATTCCTCCTCGCCGCCGGCCTTCAGTACGAGAAATCGTCGCGTGCTACAAATATGGTATACATGCAAATGCTGTTTGCACTTACGTTCGACAAGCTAGTATGGGGTACAACACCTGGCGCGCTGTCTATCATCGGTTCTTCGTTGATCCTCGGGTCAGCTATATATGTTGCGATGCATAGAGAAGAACCGAAGAAGCTTGATGAAAGAGAAAGCGGAGACGGGGAGGAAGAGAGGGGTTTGATGATGGCGGACATGGATCTGGATGGTTCGGTCACTCGCTCGAGGGTATGATGTAGCATACTACCATGTAGAAAAAGTAAAGAAATAGAGATAGACGTCCTCACCTATTGGGCCTATAATGAGGGTTCTCCTTGATCCAGCACTGGTGATGTTGTTGTACTTCGATATGCTTGTGTTGTACTTGCGGGCTACTTTGTCTCCGGGTCAATCCCGGTACCGGCTCCCTTCCAGACACCCCACAATGCTCAGACCGATTGACCCCACCAAATCTTACAAATGGTAAAATTCTTCGTGAATGAATATGTATTGAAAAGACCTAGCGAGCATCAGTGCCGCTTCAAAATCCCGGCGTCACAACTGCATTATATATGATAAATTCCAACAACTGCCCATCAACAACCAAAATGCCACGACGCAACCGCGTCACATCCTCCGTGGCGCAATTGGCTAGCGCGTCTGACTGTTATGCACACCATGGCGAAATCAGGAGGTTGGAAGTTCGAGCCTTCCCGGGGGAGCCATTCTTTTTGCCTGTCTCTGTAGATCATTGAATTTTTGTTCATTTTCTCTTTCTTTTTTTTTTGGCTTGACGGTCAATGTCACGCGCGAGTACGCTTTCCAGCCTTCCATGATGCGGCCGACCGCACGAAGAGAGGATTCTTGTTATCCAGAATACCAGCACGATTGAGACTGAATAAGAACTAAAACATGTTGTACCATCGTGATCGAGGGATTAACACAGGGAATCACATTACAACAGACACAATCACAGTCGATGGAAATTGAACCTTTTCATTAGAGGTAATGTTACATATCATAATCGAAGTAAGCCTTCCCAGGCTCATCTTTTCTTGTCATCTGCATCATCGCGATGGACTGACTCGCGCAATCTGAACCACAAAGATGAGAATCTCCAAGCTCCTTCGCAAACGACCTTTCAAACGAGGCGCTTAGTCGAAGGGGTTGGTGCGGGTTCCCCAGTAGGTGAGGAACAAGCTGAGGCCGACGGTCTCGAGGACACGGGCCACAGCACCGACAGCAATGGTGTCAAGTGGGCGCTTCTCGGTGATGACCTGGGAGACGATCTGGAGAGTATTAGCTTTAAGCTTAGAAAAGGGTTAGGAATAGAAAGTGATGACGTACGGAAGGAGCAGCGGAAGCCATGAAGATCAATGAGCCGAGGTAAGCCGCGCCCTTGTAGGTGAGGGTGCCAGTGGCGTTGATGAGAGCACCAACACCGTATGTCTGGACGGCAGAGCCGACGATGGAGCTACCCCACGAGGCAGCAGCGGTGGCAGCCTCCTTGCTGTGGAAGTACTCTTCCTTGGAGTTTGCCTGCTGGGCGCGGCGGTAGGCATCACCGAAGACGGGGCCGAGAACGGCAAGCGAGACGGCGTGGTTGAAGGCCGTACCAAGAGCAATGGCAGAGGGCTTGACGGGAGGGAGGTCTGATTGATGCTGCGTTAGCAATTGCTACTTCTCATTGTCGTGTACAAGCAGCCAGATCTAGCCGTAGTGCGGGGTGTTGGGGCTGCTCAACACCATGATGCAGGAAAAGGGTCAATCTTACAAGACAGAGACGCCATTCTGGATGGAAGATGTGTTTGGTGATGATTCGGTGGTGGGAAGCGGTATCGGGTTATGGCAGATGGATGAAGGAGTGTAGCAGACAGGGAAGCGACGCGCTTATATGGTGACCGATTTGTGACGTCATTGGCAGCTAACCTCGAATTCCACCATTGTCAACTCCACATAATAAACCAGTATCAATGCAGACTCGCTTCGCCTCAAAGACGTCTGGACTGCACGCTAGATTACCGCTCTTCTGCAGGAGATCGTACTGATCCCCCATGGGCCTTGATGCGCTGGTGATCAGGTACGTCACTTGCGTTCCTTGACAAAATGTGGGGAGAGCTTCCTGCGCGTTGCTGTGTCCACAACTTACCATGGAGTTATCAGCACCATTCAGAGCAAGGAACAAGCTTTCTACTATATGCTCATCGTTCTTCATCATGTAATATGGCTATCAACCAAGCTCCAGCCAACTACTGTTGCGCAATCATGCTATCCAGCCCCACCAGAGCTGAACTGTGCGGGGGGGGGTTGCCGATTTCACCTTGCCATTCCGGTTATTTCCCACCACGATCATGACTACTCAATAATGCCAGCAGAGCACAAGCAGCGATTTGGCGATTCAAGTCTTGTTTCTTATACAGGCAATTACATATACTATGCATACGTTCCACAACTTTGCATAGCCTTCAAATGTCCTATGCAGCCAACCCACTAACTGTTCCAACCTCGTTCCCGTCCCCAGACCCAATACCACATCGTGCATCCAGTCCCCAGCGCAGGTCTCCTTTACTCCAGCTCCAGTCACATAGCCCCTCTCGCCGCTCACTCCCCAAAAAGCCCCAGATGACACGCCGCCTTTTCCTCACCATTACAATGACGATGATAATGTCAACGCCCCGGCGTGTTATCCCGTCATGACTCAGTATACTTGGTCAACACCGTCGCCACAAAGGGCGGATACCAGTCCACTTCGACAAAGTCTTCACACATCCAATGGCACGCAAAGTAGCAATATGCATCGACAATGTACTCGCAGAGCAGAGAGTTGTCGTCCAACTTCGTGAATGCGTAGCAGATCATGTCAGTGTCAGGCAGCGCAAGACCGGCTTCGGCTTCGACGTGCACATACAGCTCGGCGATGAGATCTGTCTGAAACCGAGGGACGTTGAACTTGTCGGCAAAGACGTACTTCTCGACGAAATTGTGCGTCGTGAGTTGGCCCTCGTCGTCACCTGCAACGTATGGGGCACAGAGTTTGGCAGAGTCGTCTTCGGTAGGGAAGTGGAGGTGGTAGAGCCAATGGATGAAGAATTCGATAATGTGCGGGTTTTCTTCTTCAAGGTAATGGTACCGGTTTCGGCCTCTTTGAACCCGCCGGTCAGAGCAGCACAGAAGTAGGGCGAGTAGAAGGCTAAGAGCTCTTGGTGAACGACAACCAGAGAAGCGAACTTGGGGTTTTTGGCGCTGCGAGAAATAAGTATAGTATGGTATGAAGAGATATGTGGGCGGGCTTGCGAGATACGCGGCTGTGCACGCCTACTCTTATTCGCCATGGCGGTGTTGCTATGGTTCTGAGGCTTCGAAGACGGAGCGTTTGCTTCAGTCGATCGGCGTGCTCTGCTGTTGCGTCGCTTGTGGGATGTTTTGGAGCCAGAGCCTATAGTCGAGTGCCTCTGAGGGATAGAAAGTCTTGATCAGACTATCGCGAGAGCTACTCAGGTTGTAAAGCTTCACGAGACATGGTAGGCGGGATCGACTTAGTTGTGTCACTGCGGAGAGTGTAAGAGAAAGTAGACAATTTAATAAGATATGGCCACAACAGGCAGCAACGTCTAAGACACTAAGCACTCGAGGTGAGCGGCGACGGTTTGAGTACATGGTGAAGTCGGTTTCCAACATCAATCACACGAGCCATGCCAATCGAGTGTGGCACAATAGCAGATGTACATCTTGGTATTATACAGAAATATTGTACAAGAACTATGACGGTTGTACTTCAGCCTGTGTGCTTCTCGGTCTTCGATCGCTCTTGTGACCCTTGTCCGATTTTGATTGTTTTTTGGTATTCTCGGGAGTGTTGTGCACACGGTTAGGTAAACGATGATAATCGACATCTTCGTAGTAATGCATGTCCCTCTTGACCTTCTCTTCTGGATACACGTTCCTTGGTGGAGGTAGGATCCTGTCATCCACTTGCTGGGTTCTGAGTGTCCGCATGCGCTGGACCATATCTTGTAGCACGTTGACACCATTTTTACGAAATTGCGTGACCTTCTTAACATTCTCTGCTGTCTTTGCACTGAATTGCCTGTTCTGGGGTAATTTCGCTAGGGTTTTGGCAGTCATGGCGAAGCGCATGTCCTTGGGGCCATCGACGAGTTCGAGGATAGCAGACTCTGCCTGGTCTTCTTTCATGGGCTCGATGCGGAGGACGCGGGTATAGCCGCCTGGTCTACTTGCATATCGTTGTCGTATAGGTCCGAAAAGCTTTGGCACCATTTGGCTAGGTTCCTGTAAGATGTCAGCTCGTGGGAAGCGCAGATGGCTGGAACATGCATGCATACATAGAAGATCTGGGTAGCTCTCCGCCGTGTCGCTTCGGTGTTCTTCTTCCCTAGGGTCACAAGCTGTTCCGCTAATCGCTGCGCTTCCTTGGCCTTGTGCCATGTTGTTGCTATGGATTCGTGTTTGAACAGCGAAGTGACGAGATTGCGGAGAAGGGCCTGTCGATGCGACGACGACCGGCTCAGGTGGCGGTATTTCATATGGCCGCCGGCCATGGCGAGTGAGGTGATCGAGTGGCTGCGAGCGAACGGGTCGATGTGCAACAATTGCTCGCTCAAAGTCGCAATGTTCGGAGACGCAACTGTCGATATTCTTGGCACAGCAAGACTTCACGTGACTAGGTGGTTGGAAAAAAGTTCGGAGCCCGGAGCACTGGTGACCGACAATGCAGCCCTACGCGCTAGTTAATGCTGCACATGCAAGCACTTTATCTCGCGTCAGAACGTGATGAGAGATGGAGTGCATGCACTTGTCCCACGTAGAAGCGGTACACCGCACGCCCGTAACAGAATGGCTCCGGTGATGATGTCTAGTTCTACCGAACAGATGATGAAACATCAGTGAAAGGAGCCGCTGACTAAATACATCTCGATCGCTCGCGCCATGAACGTGCTTAAGTGGTTGCCGCACGCGACGCGATATCCGTGCACTCAACGCGTCTCTCGCTTTTAAGACTTCGCACCCCTCCTCCCCATAACATTGCCCTATCTCGTCTTTTGACATCACCTTGATACCCCATATCCCCCCTCTTCTTGCACGTTCAACATGTTTGTCTTCAAGCGCGGTAAGCCACATCCCATTTGCAGGCTCTTCCTTCACCGCCCCCTCTTCTGCACCGACGCGAGACTGACCGCAACTCAGATGGACGCAAGGAACGCGTGCAGTTCGACAAGATCACGGCACGAGTGTCGAGGTTGTGTTACGGGCTCGACCCTGACCATGTTGACCCTGCTGCCATCACGATGAAGGTCATCTCTGGTGTCTACCACGGCGTGACGACCATTCAGCTCGACGACTTGGTACGTCACATTATCTTTCGACGCGTCAATTCCACTGCCATGACTGACTGTGCCAGGCCGCCGAGACAGCAGCATACATGACCACAACACATCCCGACTACGCCATCCTCGCCGCACGAATCGCCGTGTCCAACCTACACAAGCAGACCAAGAAGCAGTTTTCTGCTGTCGTCGCAGACCTCTACAACTATGTCAACCCAAAGAACGGCAAGAGCCAGCCCATGATCTCAGACTCTGTCTACCAAATTGTGCAGTCACATGCCGAGGAGCTCAACTCGGCCATTGTGTACGACCGAGACTTCAACTATCAATTCTTTGGCTTCAAAACACTCGAGCGTTCATACCTTCTCCGCATCAAC